GTTCAACATTACATCAAGATAATTATGTAACACCAAGCGTTCAACATTACATCAAGATAATTATGTAACACCAAGCGTTCAACATTACATCAAGATAATTATGTAACACCAAGCGTTCAACATTACATCAAGATAATTATGTAACACCAAGTGTTCAACATTACATCAAGATAATTATGTAACACCAAGTGTTCAACATTACATCAAGATAATTATGTAACACCAAGTGTTCAACATTACATCAAGATCATGTAATACATAAATAATATGCTTGTGTTTGTCTTAACCCACATGTAATTTCCTGAAAAGAATGAACATTACACTAAATACAATTTCTATGAGTTTTCTCAACTTATTTAGGTCTAAAATACACATGTGCAGTTGATTCAAAACCATATGTTTACCACTTTGTATATTCAACTAAGTTTACATTCACTTTACTTTGCAATAATGTAGCTTCGGTTCATTTCATAGACTTCTATAAACAACTATTAGCTATTTTTTTGTTTACTACAGGTTATATTCTTCATTTTTATAAGTTTCTTTGTTTCAACTCGTAATACTGTGTCATACACTGAAAGTTCATAAGTATTCTGTACACTATTATAACTACTATTACTTTATTGTTTACTTTACGTGTAGTCATATTAAATACATTTATCTCTATGTGAGTTTGTCTGTCTGACTGTTTACAATTTTTTCAAATAGACCAGGATTTATTAATCTATCACATAATGTTTGCAAGAAAGTGTACCTTACATGGCATGCATTAAAATGACAGAATAAGAAAAATTCAAGCAAAGGGCACGAACAATAACAAATGTTTTGTGGGTCACGGCTGGTGTTAGAACTTACATCAATATAATTACATAACATCAAATGTTCAGTATTACGTCAATATCATTATGTAGCACCACATGTTCAATATTACGTCAATATCATTATGTAGCACCACATGTTCAATATTACATCATTATCATTATGTAGCACCACATGTTCAATATTACGTCAATATCATTATGTAGCACCACATGTTCAATATTACGTCAATATCATTACGTAGCATCAAATGTTCAATATTACATCAATATCATTACATAGCAACACATGTTCAATATTATATCAATATCATTATGTAGCACCACATGCTACATATATATTTACATGTACATCACTGGGTGGCTATAAACCTATATATAACAATATTAGATCATGAACATATATATTTACATGTACATCATTGGGTGAGTTTAAACCTATATACAACAATATTAGATCATGAACATATATGTTTACATGTATATCATTGGGTGGGTATAAACCTATATATAACAATATTACATCATGAACATATATATTTACATGTACATCATTGAGTGAGTATAAACCTTTATATAACAATGTTATATTATGAACACATCAATGGGTGAGTATAAACCTTTATATAACAATATTAGATCATGAACATATATATTTACATGTACATCATTGGGTGGGTATAAACCTTTATATAACAATATTACATCATGAACATATATATTTACATGTACATCAATGGGTGGGTATAAACCTTTATATAACAGTATTAGATCATGAACATACCTATTTACATGTACATCAATGGGTGGCTATAAACCTTTATATAACAGTATTAGATCATGAACATATATATTTACATGTACATCATTGGGTGGGTATAAACCTTTATATAACAATGTTATATTATGAACATATATATTTACATGTACATCAATGGGTGAGTATAAACCTTTATATAACAATATTAGATCATGAACATATATATTTACATGTACATCATTGGGTGGCTATAAACCTATATGATCTAATATTGTTATATAAAGGTTTATACTCACCCAGTGATGTACATGTAAATATATATGTTTATAATCTAAACTTTACAAGAATTAAAATCTAGTTCATGATCTAATAATGTTATATAAAGGTTTATACCTACCCATGATGTACATGTAAATATATATGTTCATGATCTAATATTGTTATATCATGTAAATATATATGTTCCACCCAGTGATGTACATGTAAATATATATGTTTATAATCTAAACTTTACAAGAATTAAAATCTAGTTCATGATCTAATATTGTTATAAAAAGGTTTATACTCACCCAATGATGTACATGTAAATATATATGTTCATGATCTAATATTGTTATATAAAGGTTTATACTCACCCAATGATGTACATGTAAACATATATGTTCATGATCTAATATTGTTGTATACAGGTTTATACTCACCCAATGATGTACATGTAAATATATATGTTCATGATCTAATATTGTTATATACAGGTTTATACTCACCCAATGATGTATACATCATTGGGTGAGTATAAACCTTTATATAACAGTATTAGATCATGAACATATATATATTTACATGTACATCATTGGGTGGGTATAAACCTTTATATAACAATATTAGATCATGAACATATATATTTACATGTACATCATTGGGTGGCTATAAACCTTTATATAACAGGATTAGACCATGTATTACATTTCTTGCAGAGTTGAAAACAAACGTTTCTTTAAACCTCTGCTATTTGGATCATTTTTAATGTTTTTTTTAATACCACTGAAACTTAAGTTGTTGCAAATAATATTGAATAACCATAATAAAAGGTAACTGATGTAAAGTAATATATTCTATCAAACAAATCTCAATCATTCATGAATTTAATTTTGTGTGTGTGTCTATTATCATGGTTCCTATTATAATTTTTTGGTGAGGAAAGGGTATGAGAGACAGATCTTATGATCAGCTCTTAAGATGCTCTAAGAATCACAATTTTTGGGTTGTATAAATAGAAATATTGAGTGAGAGTTAGGGATTTGACTGGTTCATTCTACAAAACAGTAGAAAATGCAAGTTTAAGTGTTACTTTTCAAATTAAGTGGCTAAACAACAGGATATTTCACGTTTAGGTGTGGCAGAAGCTGCAACATAGAAGTATTATAAGAGGAGATTACACGAGTATTTTAAAGACCAGAATTTGATCTGTAATTTGCAGTAGGAAATTGGATAGCCTAGTTGAGCCAAATTGTCTGTTGTTATCCCTTGAAAATGATATTATATTAAGTGATAACAGAAATAGGTTGACATATTTGTAGTTATTTTCCCTCAACACCATCAATTTAAAATTTTGGAAAGAAAGAAACACGAATCAACAGTTCATTTGCTACTTGTTGCTGAGTGAGACCAGTTTCATGGGGTGGTCTATATTAGAAATAAGAGGCAAGTAAACTGATACACTGGGATTCACACATCTTTCTTACCAAACCTCGCAATATTGGTGATGAGAGAGAGAGAAAAAAATCACATTATCTTAAACAGCTTGTCTGCTGATTAATTAAGACGAAGAATTCACCACCATCAAATCCTCATGTAAATATAGGTTCATTGTTACAAGTAAAGAGCATCTTTAGCACTTTACAATATTAAAATTATAGGTCATTATTCTGCATCAAGTTTTTGTTCTCATTGTGTCAATGAAAGATGATACAACTGGGAGCAATTATTGAGTCAATATATCATGGATCAATACCCCCCCCCCCCTTAAACTGATGCCTATGAATCACATCATTCACCTTTGGCTGCCATGCACAAATCTGTCAAAAAATGTTACATATATAAGGAGTTTCTTACTTGCCAATTATGGGGATCTTGATAAAATTACAAACACAA